TCCTCTGCAGAAGATGTGAAGGAACGAGCACTGGTGAAGCCTCATTCCCTTGGTCTGTGTGCAGCGGTTGACCCTAGTCGTTGTCTGCATTGGGTTCGGATTGGACACTTTTGTCTAGGTTATGCTTTCAGTGTGTAGTTCTAAGTTTGACAAATGTAGGATTTGAGCTTTCCCACTAGGGCGCTCCTGAGTATTCAAACCCGGAAGCTTCAGCTGTATTTTCCTTGGTCATGGTGACAGATTTTACTCTCTGTTGTGTTTTAGCTCAGTCAAGTTCTGCAAGGACTTTTTGAATTGACATATCTGCCCTTTTTTTCTGCTCTTTGCTATTTTTGAGTATTAGAGTTGTAGATTTTCTTTCATATTGATGTTTCTAGAACTACTGTTCAGTTCTTTCTAAAGTCCTAAACTTACTGAAGTTGAAAGTTTGTTTTACGTGCTGGTGGGTTTGTTTAGCCTGTTATATTCTGCAGTCAAACAAATACTGAAGTGCTACCCATTCTTTTGTCCTTGCATGTTACGTGATCCTGCTTTCATAACCTGTTAGGTTTTCTGTCTGCAGATGAAACTGTTTCCACAGTTCATTGTTTTAGCTTTTAGTTTTCTTTCCTCAATGTACTGCTGCTTGTTTTTACTAACGTTTTTTTCACCTACATGCGATTCTGTTCTGTGCTCTCCGCTATTTCAAGACCACTTCAAAAGTATGTGTGAAGAAATGTATCTAAATGATAACTTCTGATATGTAATCCTGTTCTAGTCCTCATAAATTATTGAAAGAAAGTAAATATTTTAGCACACATTTTCCTACAGCAGGCATAAGTCTTTAGTCCACCCCTTCCTGAGCTTGAGGAGAAACCCTGTTGATCATGCTTTGCAAGTACATCCTGCAAGTCTTTAACATTATCTGTCATGATTTACAAGGCCATAAAGAAATAATATTCTGAACATCACTGTTGATTTTATTTTCTTATGAAAGTAAGTAATGAAAAAGTCTTGACTGTACAATGAATAGTCTCCTGTTTGTTTGCAAGCAAGACCTGGCACAAATTTTTGCATTTAAAAAATTACTATAAAATTCAGGCATTCTGTTAGCTTGTGACAGATTGCCTTTTGAATTAGTTGAACCTGTCATACAAGTGTATTTCTCAAAGAATAATGAGTTTATTATAATTTGAAACATGTTAATGGTATTTCTTAAAAGTAGCTGTTTATGCATTGGTACCCATTTTCCCACCTCAACATTATATTGATTGGGCATTATAGAATCATAATGGTACATCTTGGCCAGTTTAACAAGTTTCCCAGCCCTGTTTCTCTTAATGTTCTTTTTTTCTTCAAAAACTGTTCTACCCCATCCACAAATATGAATCTGACTGAGCATTGGTTTCTGCGTGGCTGCATTATGTCTTACCCTAATCAGTGATGATTAGGGTAATCATCAAGAATTGTACTTGGTATGTACTACAATAATGGATCTTTGGTTTTTGCGAAGTCCAGCATTTGGACTATAATTATGGAAGATGTGATTGCTCCACCTTCTATTTTTAAGGCTTTTCTTTTATAAAACATATGATGGGAATCCTGCAAAACCTTGCTTTAGATTAAGTCGATGCAGACTCGGGACTTAATGCATGCACTGCATTATGGCCAAAATGCATTCTGCCCACCGGATGCATCCCCACTGTTAGGCTGTTTCAGACAGTGGTGGAGGGCTGCTTACCTGGAGGCTGGCCGAGGAGGTGACTTCCATATGGTTGGGTTCTCAGAGCCCAAGTGCAGCTCACGTGAAAAGTGAGTTGTGAGGCTTACTGAAGCAGATGAATGACTTGCACTTGGCAGGACATGTAGTAAATATATTTTCACAAATCCAGGTTGTCTGAGAAAGCATGTGAGTTACTGAAAGGTGGCATAATTTGGATAAGGGAGATTTAGCCTTTAGGCTTGTACATTTTAAGACCAGTTTGACTGGTTAAAGTGCAGAAAGGAAGTACTGTTGTGTAAAATATGCAGTCAGATGGAAAAAGAATACAAAGCTATAAGCACAGGTCACCTTCCTTCTGCATCAGGGTGTCAGATGCAATAAAAAGCTTCTAGCATTCATCTATAAAAGCCCCTTTAAAGGAAGTGAGGAGTATTGAATTTTTCTGATGGAAGAGGAGTTCACTGAAGTTTTTAGGTGGTGTTTTTTTTTTGTTTTTGAGCATCCACAAATCTGATTTAACATTTATGAGATTTTTTTGTTGTACAGTTACTGAAAATGTAAGGTTGTTAGTAAAACAAGCAAAGGTAAACTTTTGGACTTCTTCTAAGGATAAGAGGGGGAATATCTGGATCGTATCGATCTGTTTTTACAGCACTGAGAAGGTGTACATCTCTTGGCTGGTATTATGCGTTAACAACAACATCATTGCATTTGAGATGAAAGTATTTGTTGATGTACTTGTAAAAAGTGACAAGTTAATGAGAAATCTTTTTTGGTACTAAGACGAATGGCTTCACTTTTGTCAAGAAAGCTTCTTTCCTAAGGCTAATTAGCCTGTCTTTATTTAAAGCAGTCTTGTCTTGTTTGGCACAGTTTTGGGACTGTGTGCACAAATGTTCTCCTCGCCTGAAGACTGTCACAGGGATGTTGTCAAAGTTTG